CACTTACGAAGTGAAAGATTATTCTACATTCACTTTATCGGTTGACATTGTTACGAACTACAAACAATTAAAGATTGTGGAAATCGCAGTTTTACTGTGGCTTACATAATGCCTTGTTTAAATTGTTATTCCAGGCTCAGATAAAGAAGTTAAAAAACGTGAACGTTTCATATTTTTTTCGTTATTCCAATTAATTGCAATTGGTGAAGAAATTGTTGTAGACTTTGCCTAATAAATTAATCCCTCTAATGTCGCAAAAAATATTCAAGTCATTCGTTTCAATTTGTTAAATACTATACCGTTTTAAAAGTTGTTCCAATACTTTTGTGAGCCACTGTACATATAATTCAATCATAATTCGTCAATTATAAATCTTGCTTAACATAACTAAAACGTCAGAAAAAATGACATATGGAGAACGAAACTAAAAGCCTTCCCTCTAAAGGAAATGGCATTCTAGATGGAATGCAATGCCTGTGGGCTGCTCGGTTTAGGAAAAGGGGTTCCTTAGAGGAAATCAGATCCAAAGAAGACATCAGGAACATCGTTTACGCCCGCTCAACTTTGCGGATCGTCGATTTTCTTAGGTACCGAAAGACCGGAACGACGTCGGTATGCATCCAGATGGTGGTCGTAAGAGGGATGGTCTAAAATAATAAAGAAGCTGACATGAAGATGAGGAGTGTTTGTGTTTCCACACACGATGGCCGATTCTTAAACGACAAGATGCAACTGGAAAAACCTATAGACGGAAGACAATACCCACATTAGTAATTACTAGACTGCAGATCTTTATACAAATTAAACATTGTATATGCATTGATTGTAAGATCTAAAAGTTACATACACGTCTAATTCGTTGCACTCGAGCGGTGACTCTGAGGCATCACTAAACGTGGCTATATCACATTTCAAAATAATTTTAATAGTATCAAATTTGTTTAAAAACTGTTAAACGCAAAAATATGGTACGTGACAATAGATTCAATTTCATATGTACGAGTTGCAATAAATCATGTAAAATGGAGTACCCTAAAACATGTGTTAGATTGTGTTAATTGTAATCAGTTGAATATAATACAACAGTATTTTGAAATTCTTTAAACCCGTTAATGTTTTTTTATTTGGTTTATAAATACTATAGCAATAAACTGACAATGTAAGTATTTCTATTTTACATCTGTCTCATATTTATTTCATACATATAGTCATTCTAAAGTAACTATACATAAGACTGTAGTACAATTTGCTTACTGATTCACACTGCGAATCTGTTAATTCTATGTTTCAAACTTTTGAAGTATCCTTAACTCCTTGATAATTTCCTTAATAGAACGAGACACAATTTTAATCGTTTATATGTCTCCATTAATGGTTAGCGACGGTTTACAATTTTATTGAATATCATTATCACAATATGACACATTGCTATCGCCACATTGCAGCTTAAAATAAAAATCTGTAGCGATATCGGATATTACGGGATTCCTCAATAATTTCGAAATTACGTTGACAAGACCTTTGAACTTGATTTTACCTCCTCTATCTCCTGTTTTAATATTAGAGTTCACATCATGCCCTTGGGCATTTCTTCTCGTTGGAAACGTCGCTTTTATGAACACTCTGTATATTCATATCTATACTCTAATCTAAATATAATGTAATATTTATGATGATTTATTGTGTTATCCAAGCCGACGGATTAGTTGCACGCGTAATGCACACAATGCATATCACTGCACTGGACATGCAACCCTAGAAAGTATATTGATTTAGATTTCAATATTATTACGGGAAATCTGATTCATGAAATAGTCGATTTCTGTAAATCACGTCGTTGAGGTGTCTCTAAGATGAAGTATAATTACAAACCTACCGCTAAGGACTATCTTAGAAGTCTAAGACGTCGAATAAAAGAATCTCTCTTGGAGAATAGTTTACACGGTGTAAAATATGTCATGGATATTAAACGACCTAAATGGGAAAGGTAATCTTACAATTACACTGATTTTAGATGTTTAATTGTTTGACATTAAGAATTTAATATATATGCAGAATATCGTGGTTTATTTTAATAATGTTATCATTCGTGGCTATTGCTGTTACAATCTTCGTAGTTTGGATGAAATTTCAAACAGAACCAACCATAACGGGATTGGATTTGGAAACAGATATCAAAATAAATTTTCCCAAAATATTCATCTGCTTCGATTGGCATCAACTAAACTATACGCACATACAGCAGGTAATCTGATTTGTATATGTAGAAATTTTAATATTTTTATTATAATTTATATATAGTAAAATACACGTATAAAAGTTACTGATCATTACTTTGATGAAATTGCAAAATTAATAATAATACAAAGTTCTTCTATTTTTCTCGAAACTGACAGTTTCACGTGTATCGTTGCAATGCCAATTACAAGATGCTTTTAAAAATGACAGTTTCTAATTTGTAGAATGAGAGACACGTGTACGAACAAGTATACAATTGGACCTGGGAAGACTACATTGATGAATACGAACCAGTTTATGAAAAAAAAGTTTTTCTCAATGTCTTTCGTAGGATGGCTCCTAAATGTGGTAATGTGATCTTCAACTGTAAATACAAGTAAGTACACCGTTATCATTGGTATTTATTTAAGTAGATATTCATCAGTTTGATTGCCACATATATATTTTTTGTTCAGAGGAGTTAAGCAATCATGCTATAGTTTGTTTAGCAACATTGTTGTTGCTGTGGGTGTATGTTGCAAATTAAATACTGTGGAGCCTCTCGCATATTCGGATGCAAACAGGGATCTTGAATTTGAAACAACAAGTTCATACTATCCTTGGAGGTAATTTTACTTTAACAATTAATTTGGGCACTTATTTTCAATATTCCCAAATATTTAGCACGTATTTATCCCTAAACAATCGGAGGATTAGATTTTTAATTTCGTAAATTAATGTATCAATTACAAATACAGCACGAAAATTTTTTAGTTCTGTTACATTTTTATAAAATTGTACGAATCGAAATTTTCAGTAATCAATGGTAATTTCTTTCTGCAATAAATATCCTTTACGTTACAGGCTTTACTTCCAATCAAATACTGACATAAGCCCAAAACGAGAAGAAAGGCCATTAGTAAAAGCTTATTTTCCAATCACTCTTGAGTTTCATATTGATCTAACGTTTACTACACCTGACATTCGTTATCTAACTCTTCGACAACGTAACTGTACTTACAAACAAAAAGGTGATAGTTTAGACAATTGTATGATGTATCATGTCAAAGATCAGTTGTTGTCCCGTTGTAATTGCGTGCCATGGTTCTTAGCATTCATGGAGGAGAGAAGGATATGCCCGCTTTCAAAGTACCACTGTTTAAGCAATTTTACTGTAAACCCGAACGACATGAATTGCTGGCTACTTTGCGACCATACGTCGTATGCTGTGGATGCAATCTTAAAATCGAGTACGAATACTAATCGAATTGTGTTAAAATTCTGGCCACGCACTTTCATGAAAGTAGAAATGCGATTCGGTTATTTGGATTTGTTAGTATCATTTGGCGGCATTGCGAGTCTATTTCTGGGATATTCTTTGTTGGCATCTGTTGAAATAGGATATTACGCTACTCTGAGAAGTTATTGTGGGGCTGTGATTCATATTTCTCGGCAACAATATAATATTACAACTATTCACGTGACACAGAAAGTACCAAACAAATTAATACTTCGGCAACAATATCATGAATATATCGAATAGTTGGCACAATTCAATAAACTTTAATTTTCTGCATAGGCTTTCTTTATAGGTGTTTGATTACTTAATATGTGATTGCTTGTAACTATATGTATTTCATTCAATTCATTGTCAACTTATTATCTGTATAGAAAGATCATATTTTTTCAAATATGCAGATATGTGTCAATAAAACTTGTTGTCAAGCGAATATTATTTCCATTTAACTGAACATTCTCTTTTTTGTAATAGTTGTGATTCTTTCGCATCCTCTTAAACTGAATAAATCTATCCATTGCTGCATCAATATATTTGCACCATTGACATTTCAATTTTTACTTTTATTTTGTAAAGTTAATTGTAATATTGTTGCAGCTGCTATGCCAATATTTACAATGTTCATACTATCTGCAATATGTAACAAATTACACATATACAGAGTAAAGTATTTATCTACAATATTTCATTACATTTTCCATATTAGTACATCTTTTTAAGTGTAATAAATTATAGAAATATAAAATTCTCTATACATACTTGCAATACAGTTACTGAAATAAATTACAGTTTAGATAAAAAATTTAAAATTTATCTCCAAAATAAAACGTTTTACAACGATTTTATTATCGATGCATAATTAGCGAATATATTAATAGTTATACATATGAAATAAAGATTTCTTCAACTTGTAGTTTGAAAACATGTTTTTAAGGGAATTATGGGAATCCCGAGATTCTTACGTTGCTATCTTCAGGAGATATTTCCTAGAAGTTCACACTGCTTCTTTACATTGATAATAATCTGTCTAGTATGTCCAAAATTTCTGTATATCAGTTTCCACATTCTCACAGATATATCTTTTTCATTGAATTTAGTCGATTGTACTAGACTAATTGCTTATTAAAAATTGTAATATTATTGAAGATAGTCCGCGTTTGGATTCATTATCATCACGATAATCTCTCTGTAACTTATTCACATTAAAAATATTATTCGTATTAAAAATATAAAAGTTAAAATTGTCCATAATACTTGATTCTACATCTGCTTACATTGCACCCCTTTGATCAGTCACTGAATCTTCGATGTTCGAGGTACAACGCTCGGCATCGCGTTTATTCGACCTAGTAAAGGTTATTCGAAGATTTATTCGAAGCCTTCGAAATGACAGAAAAACTACAAAGGAATCATTAAATGTAATTATAGGAAAAGGAGGAGCAAGGAAGGGACAACTGTTGAAGACATTCCTCGGCGACATTAAACAACTTCTACGTGTCGATTCTAGTCTAGAAAGGGGAACTGACTGCTTGGTTCTTTTTAAGTTTCTTGAAATATAAAAAAGAGCAAATAAAACTTGTAATTGTAGGACAGTGATGATCAAGAAAAGAGCAGTTATTTAAGACATCGTTGAATAAAATACCATGTTATGAAATACCTTAGCTATTATGAACATTATTTTGAAAATTTATTAAAAACTAACGGGAAGCGATAGAAACTAATTTAAGGACGATAAGGAACAATTAAAAAGCAATTGTTTACGATATTCTACGATGCGACAGTACAATTTCTACTTATTGGATTGTAATAACGGGCTTATAATTTCGACTAACTTCACGTATATCGTTGGCCGACTACAGGGAGTTGCGATCACGTAATGATTTTTAGGAAATTTCTTGCACAGTAGAAGTAAGCAATTCAAAATAATTACAGGATGATAATCAGCAATTAAAGAGCAAATTTTTAATAGGTCATGCAGGACGTTTTATGTATTATTTCAGAAATTTCCAGCAAATCCAGTTTCTTGTGAAAGTCCCTAGTTGCCTCGAAGAAGTTTTTTGAAAATGTTTGAAAAACTACGAAAGAGCAATTAAAAGCAATTACAGATCAACAATGGACAATTAAAGAACAATCGTAACAACAATTTTTGGAGTGTATATTTGTTTATTCAAAATTCATTGTTTATTGAAAAAATTGTCGGGTGTGAAAGGTTGAGCAATTCTTTGGTTGGTCATACAGCATATTTTATGCATTATTTCAGAACTTTCGCATTTTTAAAAGTTCCCAGCTTCTCGTAAAAGTCATTGAGCGTCTCAAAAAGTTTTCTAGATACTTCTCGAAAAGGATAAGTGAGCAATTAAAACTAATTGGTGAGCAATTATGGGACATTAAAAAGCAATTTTTTAAGCTATGTTTCATTGATGTTGGTTACCATCTTGAGCTAGCTTCACACGGATTATCTATGTATGCATGCATACCAATCTGTGGCGTATCAACACTTGCGAGGAACTGTTTTTCTTTTATTTTAATTCACCTTATTACCGAGCCTACTACGTAATTTATACCAATAATTCTAACACTATGTTCGTAGTATACACTTATGTCCACATGCGTACTTAAAACATGAAGTTTTTGAAGCTATGTTCATACTGGACTCGCTTACGCGAGTGCATGGACACTGTAAATTGATACTCGAGAAACGTCACAGTTTTGCTGTTTTCCCTCTGGTACACACAATGATGCGAACATCAAAGATGTCGATTTTCGCCTTTACTTAAATAAGACATTTACTAATTTCTGTTGACAAGTATTGCATATAGTCCATATTATAGGAGCTCCTCATGGTTGTGTGTATAAAGACTCATTCAACGCGTCGTTTAAACATGGTGCCACGTGTATGTAATGTAGAATTAGAGAAATATGCAATTTATAAGAATTATAATATTTTTAGACTGTATATAGAAATATACATTGTTATATACAAGTTTACGCTGTAGAAGTATAACACTCGAAGCAAAGTAATCACTTCGATTAAAACAAGAATTATGTTCTAATAATTTTTCATCTTTCCGAGGGCAAGTAATTTTTCTGATATTGGTAATACAGAACGGTGAATGAAAATTCCTAGAGAATGAGAGGTTTGTGTCTTAAATTCGTACACGAGCTTCCGTGGCGCCACCTTGTCTAGGTTTGATCCACGTTCTTTTCTGAACGGTTGAAACGTTGCGTTCGTGTTGAGAAAACGTGACCACAGAGAACATCGTGTGGCGGTCGCGATCAGAAGAACGAGTGTTATGCATGATATTGCATATTGACGTACATTAAGGTTGTCGCGCGACGGCATGCAGTTATCGAAGTAAATAAGCCGCAATTATACGGATACGGGATTTTTCACGGTAACATAGGTATCCGGGTGCCGGCACATATCAATATACGCGAGCTCGGAGGATTGGTTATTGAAAAAATGGCGGCGGAAATGCTAAACAAGAATCGAATGATGGTTTTTAAGAACAAAGGCAAAGATCAAGAAGTGAGTATCCAGTGTGTTCATCATGGTGTGTAGTAACCTTGTGTGTCTGGAAGGTTCGGCTGTCGCTATGAAAGGATGATTGCCAGATTACTGCACGCACTAGTTTTTTCAAGATAGTGAAATGTATTTCTACACTTTGTCATTTCGGGTGGATTTTCGAAGATTTTTGCGCAATTATTTCATAGACGGGTACAATGTTTCCCAAATCAATTGTCGTAATATTAATCACTGCATGCGAATCAAGTGAAACGTGCTGTCAATCTTTAGAGTTTTGTCATATAAAATGCGAGAAAATAGTCGAACTATATAATTATTAACAAAAGCATGATGGATTTCGTAAAAGCATTATTTTTAAGTATGTCTTTAGATAGCTTAACAACAGATTTATGATATTCCTATATTTTTTTTAAGGAGAATGCATAAGTAGAATACATTGTTTGTATCTTTATAGTAAAATTAAAGATATAATTGTTATCATTATAATCAATTTAAAAATCTAATGATATTTATTTGAACGTTGTATTTGTCTTAAATTATGACAATACGTTTTCTGTAACCGATGCTATTTGTTATATATTCAGTTAAACACATGTTGAGCTATTACTATAATAAAGTGAATGTCTAAAATCCTACAAAATTCTCCTAACTTCTCTCCTGCTAAAGATTATATTGTTACAACTACATAGTTCAAGTGATTTTCACAAATCTCTACATTTGTATTTTGCGTAATTATATGTATAGTATGATAATGCTCCATTGGTGATGTAAGTCGATGTGAATATTTCAAATATGATTAGATCTGTTTTAGGTACAAAAATATATGTTGAAACTATTAAAGTATTTTATAAATTTATTTTTTGTTTCATATTTTACATGTATTTAATGAAAACAAAATAGACATACAGTCGTCTCAGAAAATAAATTAACGACCGGTTGTACACAGGTAAATGATTTAGGTACATGCTACGTAATAATGGTAAACATTTTGGTAACATATATGTTATGTACTTATATCTAATAAGTAACAAAACAATTAATTATTTGATTTTATTAAATAGACGAAAAGAAATGAAAATGCATATTCCATCCATTACAATAGCATTGGAAAGTAAGTTAATGCTTTAAATTCT